TACGACAGCATACAACTTGCTCGGTGAATTATTTCTCCCCCGTGCACGGCGAGAATGTTACAACTTGTTTTCATATAAAAATATCTTTCCGATTTTATTATCTGTTTTACTGCAAAGGAATAGACCGTCAGTAAAGTTTATCTCGTTGAGTGTAACACAATAAACCTTTTAACGGTAGAATTTAGTTTCTGAGATATAAATGGCACATATAAAAGAGGGATGATAAATTGTGTCACAATCGAGGACACCTGTCCCTCGGTTACAAAATTCTACGGTAATTTTTACTGCAAACCTCCGTCCGTGTGCGACTCGAATGGAGAATTAACGCAGATATATCTTCAAACCCGACTATTGGCTAAGCTGGAAAGAACTTTGGGAAAATATACGTTTGAGAAATCTCGGTATACACGTGCGTATCGCGCTTTCATACGTGAGCCATCGGTGTTCCCACCTATTCGTTCGCTCGCTTTTTCAAATGTGTCTTCAAGTATCGCATGAGCATACACCGGCGCGCCACGATACAGCGACATACTTCTTTCAATTGATGTACCGATGGTCCACTGCACGTAAAAGGGTTGGGAAACGCTGACCTACATACATCATACAGACCGCTGCACTTTACACGGCAATAGAATCGACCGCGCGCCGGTTGTCCCGTCGAAATTTCAGCGGCGTAAACTTTACTTCGGGATATGCCTTTCGAAACTCCCGTCGTGTCTCCGAGAGAGTTGTCGAAACAGGCTTCTTCCCCGAATGGCTATCGATTGGAACCGCGGCCATTCCCGAGACTTCGCCGAAAAAAAAGGGATGAGAGAAAAACGACAAACAAAGGCCGTTGCATCCACGGTCAGTTCCGAGTTTAATTCTATTAACGCGGAAGGTAGAAAGAAGAAAGTAAGCGACAAGTTCTCGGCGAGCTCAAAAATGTCCATCACGGCGGCGGAAGTGGACGCTTTACTTGAGTAATCGAATAGGGGAGATCGCTTATTGCTTATTGTCGCACACACTTTTCACATATTGATTAAAAAGGAAGACGTACATAATATTTTATAATATTGTGTATATTTTAATGTAATTGTACGTCCTTTAGCTTTAAAAAAAAATATTAGCCTCATGTATTTCCCATACAAAAGTTATTTAACTTGAAGCGAAATTGTGCAAATGGGACACTTGGATCATATGATCAATTGTGTCGTGTCTTTCATAAAGGAAATAAAATATATACAGTATACGTATTTACTTGACTTGAGATCGTTTATTTTAAGCAACATAATTTAATATCAAATATTATGTTGTTTGAATGAAAATATCGTTAACTAAACTATGTTAACTAAACTATGTTGTTTGATAGAAAATATAGTATTATAATTATATTTGATAGAAAATATAGTATTATAATATATAAGAAAAAATATATAATGTTTAATTCCCGGTAAAAAAATTGATTTCATTTGCATATTAAATATTGCCTTCGACTGAAGTGAAAAGGTTTTTTAATATTTTTGTAACATAGTGTTGTACTTCTTTCAAATTATTTATCGCTTGTAACCATCGTTGTAATGTTTGGATGAAAATTCGACAGAAATATGTTATTTGTCGTGAAAAAGTATTTATTATTTGAGAAACCAAACACAGTTCTGTTTGTTGAATGAAACAGTTGCTCGTTTGCTTCGTTCCAAAAGACAAACATGTTTCAATTAAAGAAACGTTATTAAATCCAAGGAAATCTGTTTTCCCATGTAGGTTCTCTTTCGAACTGTTTTAAATACTTGATTAAAGTTAATGATATTACAAGGACGCAGTTTTATCTCTACATACCTGTTTTTCGGTCGCGCTTTTGAGCCATGGCAGCCGAAAAAAACAACTAAAATCTACCTAAAACCTGTATATCTACAAACATGACTTCTTAAACTAACCGGATAATTTCACTCAAAATTCATCAAGAGATTATTTTTGTTATTTTCTAATAGATTACAGAATCGCGCACAAGTAGGGATTTCATAACTACCTTTGACATATTCGAAATCTCTGCTTGCTCGATTGTGTAATCTGTTAGAAAACAACAGAAATAATAAATTAGCCAAATTACCCCTTTAGCCAACTACTCCGGTCTTTCCTAATCTCTGCAACTTTTAGCCCCGATCTCCTCTATCGAACCAACCGGCTGCCCTGCTCGGCTCCTGTATGACTAAAATTACGATTCAGATCTAAGGACGATCTAAGAACGAAGAAGAAAAGAGGGAAGAAGACGAGAAGGAAGAAAAATTGCGCGCACGTTTATTCACGCGCGACAGATTTAGGATCGCGTCGCGAATTCGATTCTTCCGCGCTTCCGACGACGATCTTCTCGAGCGCGCGCTAAATTTAAGTTCAGACGGGCTTCGCGCGGGATCTACCGACGGGAGAAAAGCAAATCCAAAATAATCAGTCTACCGGGAAATTTCGCATCAATCTAAAGTTTGAAGCCGATCGGGAAGCGCCTCGAGTGGTTTAATACTTTCGGACGAGAGTGGATCTCTTCTGAATGCCTGGAAACATTGGAATGGCTCGATTGTAGCCGAGAACTGGCGGCAACCGGTCGTGCCGCGCGGCGAAGTTTCGCTGCTTGAAATTTTCGAGAGCGTTCTCCCAACATCCGCAAACAGTCTAAATTAATACGTTATAATTATGTGAACACTGGTAATTATATAAACTGCTAATTAACATATTTATATGCAGACGTTACTCGCGCGGAGTTGCAAGTTCGCGAACGCTTGTCGCTCATGTGCGCGTTATTTAAAATGAAAAAAAGTCTGTATCATGGCGGGATCAACAATTGGGTCAACCGTGTTTCCTCTTCCCCCCCCCCTCTCTTTCTCCGTTCCTCCGCCCACGTACACATGCGGGGGCAACAATTGCGGAAAAAATAATATTACCGCCTCGAAAATCCCGTTTCTTCTTCCGTGTGTACGAAACGCCCTTCGAGCTTGATCCGACGAATCGAACTGCCGAAATATTTCCTCGGCCGTTGCATCATCCGTAACCATTCCAAATAATTCCATCGAGTCGAGTCGAAATTTCAAGTTCGCTCTGCGCGAGGCAAATTCGGGTGCGTGAAACTCCGACGGATGCAATATTGACGCGGGGTTGATCAAAGGACGAAGAACCGAGGGACGTGATGAGAGGAGGGAGGTCGAGTGGATCGAAAAATTATCACTCGCGCATTTACTTATCCACGGGCGCGGTAAGGCACAGAATGATCTCGCGTGTAATCCAACGTCACGGCCAATTTATATGCTCCATACGAGCCCGATACAATCCAGCCGCCGTGATTAGCCACCTTCGCCGGGTGCATACCTTATGTTTTATGCATTCTCTTTCTCCAATGATCTCGAAGCATCGGCGGAGTGGAAAGCGAGAAGCCCGTTCTAAGGAACAGAGACGGGGTCGCCGCATTCCCCCGGAGATCGGGATCGTATTTCCGGCTCTCACAATTTTACTATTTATGCAATATCGCACTCAGTCCCCGAGGGTGGTAAGATAGGTCGTAGCGTTTGTGTGAGGACGAAGTTACTAAGTACCGCTAAACCCATTTCTGTACGAGAGTACTTCGCTCCGTAAGCTCTTTCTCTCGCCTCCTCGAGATCGCTTTTTCTATCTCTCACTGTCTCGTTCGATAGACAATAATCATTGTGGTAAGGTTGAGAACCATCTAATTTTAGGAAATGGTGGCGGTGTACATGACGTCGACTATTATGTATGCGCGTCTCTGTGATAACAACGGGACATTTGTTGCATTTGTGACAGACCGTGATGGTTTGGACGGCGATATGCACTTGTAATTGTGCATTGCTTTCCAAAATTTCCCATATCGCTTTGAAATTGATATTTCAACGTTATAAGTACATTCCAGCCGGACAGAACTTTTATGGTACTTTTGCGGTTCATGCGAAGGTTTATATCCTCGAGAAAAATTCTCTTCGCATGTACTTTTATCATTTTCATGTTGTATCAGCCTTCCATGATATGATATGAATCAAATGTTAGAAATTAGAATGTATCTTTAATTTGAAAGGATAAATATATTCGCACTTAACAGCTTGGCTCTTACCGGCCTATTCTAATTTCTAACATTTGATCATTTATAATTTCGGTACGGAAATATATATGAATTCTATTCAGCTTTACGGTGTTACCACGAGGATAATGTTCGGCTATTTTCGCGCAGATGGCACTATACATAATTGCGTACGAAATTCTTCGCGTGCTTAATCCGTCTATATGAAAATGTATGGGCGCGCGGCGGGAACAGATTAGCTAACGAGCTTCGCTCTTTAGCTAAAAGCGATAAATTTTTATCTTCGTTAGACGTCACGCTAAGAACAATATATCTCGGCGAATGCAGTCAGGCTGTAATTAAACCTAACTACATGTTTACGCAACGTAATTGCATTTTTGCAACAACTCAATTCAAATTAGCTCTATACGCACATGTACACGAACTCCGTTGTGTAAGTGATATATATTTTTATATGTTTCGCGCGATATGTAGGTCAGTGTCATTTGCTTGCCGGCGATGCTCCATACCATTTTATCGTGACTTATTTATCTGCGGGAATAATGATTTCCTACCTCATCAAGAGCCATTAAAAACGTACGACGCATGTTATTTTACCGATGAAATCCAATCGGTTATGTTAATCCAATTTATACGAACGCAAATATATACGACGTTGCGCGTTACCTTAATATTTGTTTCAATTAAATTTTATTGCTCGCGTTTGTCAAATTAAACAAACGGTTCGTCTGACATTTTAATTTTCCGAAACTAACTGTTCTTCGCAGCCGCGACACGGAGTTAATTCGCGCGCAGAAATACCTCGTATTTTTCATCGCGCAATTAGATGTAAATTTGACCGACGTGCGCCGACACGATGATTATTATATCGCCGTGGAAGTAACCCGAGCCCTTTTATATTCATTAACGCTGGTACGACCGCTAATCAATCACCGTGTTTCAGATATCGTGGATCCGCCGGCGTGATTTCCACGTCCTAACAAGCTCTATGTTCACATACACGAACGACGAGCGATTTCAAGTGCTGCATCCCGAGGGCTCGGACGACTGGACCCTTCAAATAAAATACGTCCAAGAGAGAGACAACGGGACGTACGAGTGTCAGGTAACGTGAACCACCGTGAGCAGTCTTGTTACCCGTTAATTAATTCAATCCATTTTAACCAGCGTTTCCCCGCATTTACCGTACGAGTATATTGTCTTCCGGTCGGTCGCTTAGTCACTCGATTTAGCAACATCCGCTTTCATACGCATTTCTCATGCGTATTTCTCCTTTTTCTTGTTTTTTAAGAGAATCAAGGTGACAAAGTTTGATAAGCGCGCACTTTATGTTCGCCGACCGCGCAATTAGCGACCGATTCTTATCAGGAGAACATAATAAGCGAGGAGGTTGCGCGAATTAACTCCTGCAACCTCCTCGCTGATCATGTTCTCCTAATATCGAAACTAAATTTCCATAGATTCCCAATGCTTCGAGATTTTCACAGATTCTCATCAGGAGAATATAACAAGCGAGGAGGTTGCACGATTTAACTCCCGAAAGTGAAAAAAAACTCCTGAAAGAGTTAGTAGTTTCGATGACGTTTGATGACGTTTTTGAGATAATGTCATTAAGATGACGCTTTTATTCGACGTGCAGTACGGTTTGGCATTTGCGCCGATTGCGTAACGCGATTCCACAATTTATCGCCGCGCGCAACGTTGTCCGCAGTCCGGGCGCGATCGGGAGATGCACCTTTCATTGCAACATACTAATTGGTATCTTCAAATCGGCTGTATATATTTCAATAATGCGCTTTGTGACGATACGCGCGCAGATGATAGGTGATTTATGCCGAACGTATACAGCGGAAGCAATAAATCCTTCTATTAATAATTCCCGGCATCGCTGATCGCGCATACCGCAGCGCGGGCGTTATTAATTCGGCGGCAGTAACTTTGACGTATACATGAGGTCCACCGACGCGATACGTTTGACATCGTCGTTCCCCGCGAACTAGATTTTTCATCACGATAAACCGTCGAAGAAAACAGAGACGGAGATGACATTCTTACGCGCTGATTGACGGGGGATTTTGCCGTCACGAGAGAGACGTGACGCGGGCGACTTAAGGAGACGTCGTATTTGAAAACTTCCTTGGCAAAATACTGACTTCTTCTCGCCGTAGTTCATGCCGCATTGGCTGCACAGACTTATAAGTGCTTTCACACAGTTGTTAAAGCAAAAATGAATCGAAGCGTTACTCAACGTGTGATGGAAACGTGTGATAAAAAATCTCAAAACTGATATCCCCAGCTGTTAGTTAGCGTAAATATTTCGCCTGATACAGAAATATTGCGGTCCGTACGTACCGTATTTGTCGAATCTGCTCCAGTCGAGAAAATGTCAATAAGATTTGCATACCTTTATATTTGTATACCTTTCATACCTTTTTATACCTGTACTGTCAAATTTAAAGGTCTAGAAAGATACGAAAAGCTTGCAGAATATTTTTAAACATCTCAAATTTTCCGCTAGATATGGGAAACAGGGTGAATCAATTCATGACACATTTGTATCGCATTTATATTTACGTAAAATCTACATGTGCAGTCTGCGTCATGTATGCAGTATCATTTCCTAGACGGGGAATTACACGATTTGAAATCTTGCACATAAGGTTGAAAATCGCGAAAATAATTGCAGTTATAAAAGTAGAGTTATGATGGCTCTAATTATAACAGTCTCGACCTTATGTGTACATGCGAAAGGCTAGAAATCGTGCAACAGTAAAACGTTTCAATCCAGAGAATGACACATGCATACATGACGCCGACTGTACGAGAAATACAAAACGAACAGCCGTGATCATATCAATATGTATGTGACATTTCGAGGATCGTCTACGTTATCGACGCCTATCACATTCGCCATCGACTTCGGCATCTCTCTAAGTGGAAAGTGCACCGAAAAGAGAGAAAGAACAAATGCGACGGTGCGATTAAACTTCGATAGCTGATTAATAAAAAAAATTGGATATCCATCACCATCGCTAAGAGATGTAATTATATCTATCCGCTAATACGTAGATCCGTGTGAGATAAACCGCGAGGGAGGGGCCTTTTGTTCTCGCTGCATATTCATGCATTTTTCTCCGCTAATGGAACGGCAAACACAGGTGCGCAGAGCTAGGCGCGAGTACGAGCGCTCGAAAGAAATCGCGTGAGCGACGAGACGCGCGGCCCATCGCCGAGGAAACCCCCGGCCGAGGGAAACCGGCGGTCTCTGACCTTTCCGAAGTTTCGCCGGGCCGCTCAGATCAAGTTCGGTGGCGCGAAGGTGACCCTCTTATGTTAATTTCGTGTGCGAATACACAGCGTCGCGAAACTTTTTCCGGTGAACTTGGGCGAACTTCCGTTTCCGTCTCGCCTTGATCCGTTACCGGGGGAGAGCGCGTCTCTACGGCTCATTGTTGTAGCCGAGTTCCACGGGGAAAGTTTAATCATAAACAAACGGACTGACCGTCCGGATGATGCTCTTCGCGCGCTCGATGTCCGAAAAGACTCTCACGATCGTCTCACGATACGAGATTATCGACGATGGTAACTTTAGAGGGGGGAAAACATTTCGTTGAATCAATAAACTTTCAATATAGAGTCCAATTATATATCCAATTATAGTCCTATATGGTATCAAATTAATCATTAAATTTACATCATGCAACGACGTAATTTTTTTTGTCATGCAGATGTAATATTAGGTTGGTGCATATGAAATGTCGGATTCTTAAGTGATTGTATAAAACTGTATATCTTTCTTCAAAAGCTGTTTATTCAATCAAAGTATGCTCCATTCGCTTCAATACACTTCTCCCAACGAGATTTTAAAGCGTAGATGCCTGTCTTAAAAAAATTTTGGTCTTTAGAATTAATAAACTCTGATATCGAGTTTTTTAGACTGTCTTCATTTTCATGGTGTTTGCCTCTTAAAAACAGCTCTAAATGCTTGAAAAAATGAAAATCGGTCGGCGAGAGATCCGGTGAATATGGTGGATGCTGCAAAACTTCATATTCCAGTTCGTTCAGTTTCGCAATTGTTTTGTGCGATGTGTGCGGCCGAGCGTTGTCATGGAGCAGTAGCGGGCCATGCCGATTCACAAGCGATGGGAGTACAATTTGGTGTCTCAATATCGTTGTATGGTCAACTTTCATCCTGATAGCAAGTTCCCTCGTGGATACGGCTGGATCCGCTTCCACTAGAGCCTTCAGGTCATCATTATTCACAGACGTTTTGGGTCTTCCGCGCGGCTCATTTTGCAGTGAAAAATCGCCAGTCCGAAATTTTTCGAACCAACGCTGCACTTTCCGATTGTTAACCGTATTCTCCCCAAACGCTTGGTTTATGTTGCGTGCAGCTTTTGCAGCACTATTACCAAGTTTGTACTCATATAAGAAAATGACGCGAATGTCGGCAGAATTCATATCGGTAATAAACTCAAAAGAAATAAAAAAGGGAAGACCTTCGAGAAAACCTATTTTGTTGAAATGAGTCTCTGGCAATGGACAATACGAGTATGAATGAGGTTATGCCAAATACAAAAGTATAACGAAAACAGGGAGGAAAACGTCCGCATGTAAAGAGAATGCGACATTTCATACGCACCAACCTAATAGTAAGAAATTTATTGAAAGTTACCCTCGGATTTTTGAATTACGTTCTGCATGATATATTGTTTCGAGTAAATTCTGATAATTTCTTGCGTTTCTTTATTTCGTCGTGTCATATCATACAAATGTGCCACGTGTGAAGCGCTCGAGAGAGATACAGCCTTCGCACATCGGCGAGTAAAATCGCTGCCAGATTTACGTAAATCTGTCTATCCGGATGCGTCCCATGAAGACGAATGGTATCCGATAGCGAGCAGCGCTCAAAAATTGTGGAACAGATTTATTCGGGCTTCGGAAGGTGCGTACGTTATTATGTACAAGTTTATTTCACGTGTGAAATAATCACAAGCGAAACTCGTTCATTACGACGGACAAAGGACGAGTAACGACAAACAACGAATATATTACAATCAAACGAGGCACGATAATGGAAATTAACGAGTATTCAATGCGCAACTGAATATTAAAAGCCGATTGTAGCCGTTGAAATTCAGATCGTAGTTTCGTAACGCAAAGACTGGGCGAAAGCGAGCGCGCATAGCGGAACGAAATGACGTCGGTCGTACTTACGACAATTTGTTAATGTTAAACTGATTACGACGCAAGATAATCCCGGGATAAGCAGCCGAGCGTAACGTAGCGCTTAACGTATTCTCGCTCGTCCGAAATGTCCCGTTGTTATATTTTCCACGTATCTCGTTGTTGCACGATCGCATGTATGTACCGCGCGATGATAACACCGGCCAACACAAAATTGTATCCGTTATCTCGAAATCGTCAGTTTTAGTTAATTTTATGACGCTGACCACACAAACGCAACTATTAAAATCAAGGTTTTTCTCTCATTCTCATGGCATGGTATGGTAAACAACAATTGAAGGAAATCTCTTCCAATTTGTCTTTTCAGAAGCTATTTTTTCACTTCGAATCGGTGTATGTGATGACACTGGTGTACAATCTTGCAAAAGTTGGTGAAAGGGATGTGTGTTTTAATTTTCTATGGAACGATAGAGAATTCGAATCTTTTGTTGTAACTATATATTTATGTGAAGAACGTTAAAAATCGTCTAATAATATAATATTTAAATAGAATCTTAGTTTTCCTGACAATATGAAACACGGGAATAAAAAATTTTAATGAAAATAAGTTCTGTTGCCTTGTTCTCCATACCTCATACTATGAACTTACAAGATATTAAAAAATATAGCCCACATGTTTTTCATAATTGAGGCTAAATAATTCGTTCTGTCATCTTCTGTCTCAACGTGTGAGCGTGTGAGAAGAAAAAAGGGAAGCTCGAGAAGGACAGGAATTGTGATGCGAATTTTTCTCGACCGATGTAATGAACGATATTTCACATGAAAATCTGTATTTTACGCTGTTACAAGTGATTTCGGATGAAACGGTGATACAGCGCGGACGGGTGGATCGAATATGAAGCAATGTGCGAGGAACCG